ACATAATTCGTAGTAGATTTGCACAGAATCTAAATTTTTACCGATCTGATTGTTGGCGTTGCTTTGTAATGTTTGATGTTTTATAAATTCAGTGTGGCAAAGAGACGGAGATCAAACTGGTGTATTCGACAGGAGCGAAGCGAAACTACGACTCCGAGCCGTGGCATATTTTCCTCACCCTATTGCACCGCAATTATGGTGACAGTCTCTGTAAGGTAATTTTATGATTCAGTTTCATGTGAAAATTGCATGGCCAGCCATTGCCCTGATATTTTGGGTTTATACGCTCCTGGTTGCACTTTTATGTGGTTGATCCTAAATACTCTCGTGGATCACCGATGAGGCGATGTTGATGGATCAGTGATAGGAAAATAAATAAATAGCAACGAGCACCAGACTAGCCGGTGCGACCATGAGTTTCGTGCAATTCCGCTCACCGAACGATTGCCTATTAATGATTTTCACTGCTTTGTACTTTGATCTGTGCAAAAATAGTTGAAACGTTGAAAAATAGTTAAAAATTTCATGCACCGGCGCAAGAAAGCTGAATTTGAAACCTTAATGAGTGGATATCCTTCCAAAGTATAAAGAAGTGAAAATGATTCCCGAAATAATAGTTTACCCGTTAAAATTTTCACGAGACCTAAGTGATACCCGAGAGCGCTGGAACGCTGAGTTCGAGTTTGCAAAGTCGCACGTGGACGAAGGGTCATTACCCTAAAATTTCAGCTTTGTAGACTTTGTGGTTCCCGATATAATAATTTGCCCGTCAAAAATTTTCACGGTGGCGTACATGTTAGCCGCGGGAAGGCTGAATTTAAATTTTTTGGGTGGCACATGAGCGGAGGACATACCCACAAAATTTCAGCCTTCTAGCTCCCGTGGTTCCCGAGATACTGATTTTACCCGAAAAAATTTTACGGGGCCGTACGTGTTACCCGCAGCTGCGGGAAGGCTGAATTGGAATTTGCCGCGTCACCTGTTGGTGGGGAAGACTATACTAAAGTTTCAGCCGCCTAGCTTTTGTGGTTCCTGAGTTGAAAGTGCGGGACAAAATATGGGACACACACAGACAACCCTGTAACATTATGTACTTTGTATTGCTGTTGCAGTACAAAATGCATAAAAAACAGAAGTTAAAGTTGGGACTGAAATTACTACAGTAATGACATCAAAGATACAGGGGAACTGTATTTTGAATGAATGTAATTCTGATGTAGGAGGAAAGTCGGAATGATTACTGATTGCTCTGGTGCGCAAAAATGCGCTGCGATGAAACTGCACCTGCCGGTGTATCATATCGAAGTAAACTTTTTTAGAATCTCAGTGATGCGGAACGAACTGCAGAAGTTGATAACTGTAAAAACGCCGTGGAAGACAGGAAAAGAAAACGACGTGCTTCAGTGAGTAACGATACTGGCCATGTACAGAGCGCTGTGAACGAGTCGTCAACGAATACTGAAAAAGCTGCAGAAAACGCAGCCCCTTCTATGATCGAGGCCGAGAATAAAGCATTCCTGCAGCAGCTGCAGAGTTTGCAAATGAAACGGCGTCCCCCGTCGCATAATCAGCGCAATCCTGGCCGGGTATGTGCTTAGAATTGAATAAGTAGCAGCGCGCACCAGACTAGCCGGTGCGATCGTGCGTTTTGTGCAATTCAGCTCATTAAACGATTGCCTGTTAATGATTTTCACTGCTTCGTACTTTTTTTTATCTATGTAAAAATAGTTCAAAAATTGGAAAATAGTTAAAAGTTTCACGCACCAGCGCACGAAAGCTGAATTCGAAACCTTGAAGGTTGAATACCTTTCCGTGATTTCCGAATTGATAGTTTGCTCGTCAAAATTTTCACGAGGCCGTAGGTGATACTCAACAGCGAGGGGACGCTGAATTTGAATAGGCATGGTTGAGCGTGGACAGGGAGTTATTACCCTAAAATTTCAGCCTCCTAGACTCGTGGTTCCTGAGATATTGATTTACCCGTAAAAAACTTTCACGGGGCCGTACGAGTTACCCGCGGGTACGGGAAGGCTGAATTTGAATGGGCAAGGTTGAGCGTGGACAGGGGGTCATTACCCTAAAATTTCAGCCTTCTAGACTCGTGGTTCCTGAGATACTGATTTACCCGTAAAAAAACTTTCACACGTCCGTACGAGTTACCCGCGGGTACGGGAAGGCTGAATTTAAATTTGCCGCGTCACACGTTGGCGGGGAACACTATGCGAAAATTTCAGCCGCCTAGGTTTTGTGGTTTCCGAGTTGAAAGTGCGGGACAAAATGTGGGATACACACACACAGAGAACCCCGTGACAATATGCATTTTGTAACGCTGTTACACAGCACAAGGCCCATAAAAAAGTGAGGAGGAAGTGAATGTGTTTCAGCGCCTGCAGAGAGATAAAAATGCTCATAGTTTTATTCCAAATAACGTTTGAAACACGAAAGCATCGAGAGCCGAGATGGCTTTTGGTCGGTGCTAGCAGTTTGCTGGCAGGATGCTTGCAGAGATGTAAAAGATTGTAATGTAGGGGAGTAGGAAATTGTTTTTGATTTCAGCATAACTTGTTAAAAAAAAATATGGCATGTTCACGGCGATCTGAATAAATTGGGGCAAAGTGATTTTCGATACCATATGGTCGTCTTTGGAGGAGAGAAGGCCCACTTCATTCAGTGGATACAGGCCCTTGTTCCGCTTTTTTCCGCTTTTTTTTTAGGAAGGAGCTGCACCTTTGTTCCGCTTTTATTTAGTTTATTACTTTTCGAAAATGACTCTGGACAGTTCATTGTTTTGGTTGATCAAGAAAGGTGGCTCATTTCATAGTACAAATGTTAATAAGAGCATCAGGGCGCATTCGTGAAAAAAGTCCGCGAGAAAAGCGGGCAGTATATGAAAATATATGAAAGTATGTTGGTCATTCGGGAAGAAATTTGAGAACTGAGCGTAAGTGAGGCTGTCGTGTTACTGACGCTGCATGGAGCGGAAACCAAAACGAATTTATTAAATAAGAAGCGATTAGAAAATAATATTGCAGATACTGAAGTGTGTATGGGATAGGAACCTAAATAAGAACAAAGAGCCGGAGAGGAAGTTTAGCAAATGGGGAAGTAGATAACATATCCCCCAGTGAGGTCGTTCCAGCGATACACCCTTACTTTGTATGCTTCTTAAAACTTAGAATGGTTGCTCAGAATGATCGCCATTGCATTCTTGCTTATTATCGATGCAGTAATTCACAACTTCTCTATTCTACTCGATTATGAGCATATTCATTACTTGAATAGTTCCCCATATCACATACAGCCTTCATAATGTTCTTTTAGAACTTGTGTGATCTGGCATTTATGATACATTTTTCAGAGATGTATTGGTGCCACGGCCAGACCAGCATTGGTACCTCAAAGAACAAAAAATGCTCGCCAGGCTGCAAATGTTCTTCAGTCTCAGCCTCCTTTCACCACAGAATTAGAACCAGCAGTACCAGAACCATCCAGGTTTAGCCCGCAGAACGTAATCAGTGAATCAAGCAGAGGCGAAAGCACACACTCGCTTACTTCTCTGAGTAATGTAGAGTTCGGTTCGGGCACCAGCAACATTATGTCGCCATCGAAGGAGAGCACACTTCCGGATGATGTACGAAGTTCGATGGAGATGATGTTGCAGCAGAACAGTGTCGAATTTTGCCGCAATTTTGCTGATCTTGCCAAAAGGCTCAATGTTGACAACGATGTGGAAATGCGCTCCACATCTCTGTGAGAGCTGTGATTGTTTTATAAAATTTTGTATCAGTGTACATACTCTGAATAATTGAGATGTTGTATTTTTGCTGTAGGAATGCCTAAAAACAAGCATTTGAGGTGCGTCCCGGCTGCACTTTTTCCCCTGTTTCCTTCATTTTGCCAAAGAATTGAAAAAACGTTCTTCAGATAATCTCTCAGTAGTACCTTTAAGGTCTTCAGAAGAAATTGTGCCCGGAGAGGATAGTGTAGATTTTTTTAAAAACATGTCTGAAGATTATATGAAACTGCAAGAGATGGGTTTGTAACCGATCACTTCCAACTGCAGATTGGTTACACTGCTCCCTCGTCCTGTGCGATCGCTTCTGGGTTGTTTTTATTGTAGGTTTTATAAATTTCTGTTCTCCATAAACATTCTTTGTGCGCTTCAGTATCTTCTTGAAATTGGTCTTTGATTTGCCATCAGTTCGTCCACTCTTTTTGTTGTTGTCCAGCACTGATCGTCCGCTATCCTCTTCTATGCATTTTTGCTACAGCGCATAAAAAGCGCATGTTGTCGAGAGGTCGTCCGTGTATGTGTGTTGTGTGTTTATGTGTTCGGTAGCGAGTGAACTTTGTCATTCATTTTCAACTTAGCAACTAGGAAAGCTAGAAGGCTGAAATTTTGGTATCATATTCCCACCCGATGTGCCACTCGTCTGTTTCAAAATCTTCGCTTATACGCGCCTAAATCTCACGTTTGAACCGCCGAAAAACTATGCAGGTTTTCATGGTGGGAAACAATTTCATGAACCAGACAAGATAGAAAGCTGAAGCTTTGCAGAGACATTCTCTGTGCGCGTATGAGCTAAAGATTCCAAATTCAGCTGTCGCACACGCTTTTACTGCAGAGCTCGCAATTGGCGCTGCGCCAACTCGAGGATTATCCGGAAAGCAGTGGCTGAAACTCTGTAAGAATTATCCATATGAAAAATCGCATAAGTAGATTGAGTTTCGATTTGCGTCTGCGCTACTACTTAGAACATTTCGAAGAGATTTGTAATGAGGTGACTATTTCGCTTACCAAATAAACTGTAGAGCTGAAGCTGTGCAAAAATGTTCTGTATTCACGTGTGATCCTAATACGACTTGGAAGTGAAGTTTCGCGCGCGCGGTCATGACTAATACTCTATTGCAGATTTAAAAGCGAGTGCACTCTGTGGGTCTCGTAATCCCTTTCCGATTTCCTTCAAAATTGCATTTCCTCAGTGGACGGACATTCAGCGGAAAAACGACCGGACTTTATGCAAGAAATTGATAAACATGCACGCTCGAGGGCCATGCGGCCACATAATGCTACTCCTGTATCTCAGCCGTCGCATTTTCCCATTGCATGGGGAAAGAGGCCAAAACACAGCCAGTACGAGCCCAAGTATTAAACCAGAGCGCATGAACCATTCCTGCTGTTAGCGATCTGCAAGTTTAGTGCAAAAACGCCTAGTCGCACCGACAAGCCTAGTGCGTTGCAGTCTAGACTTATTGTTATTGCAATGCATTTTTTGTTCATTTGTAAATAATGTCAAAAAGAAGTTAATTTCTCGTCACATTTTTGTAATAAATGGCTTCGGGTTGGTGGCAGCTCGCATCACGATGGCACATTTTGTCCACTGCAGTGTTTTTCGATTAATTTAACAGCTTTTCAGGATGTCTTTTGTCTTTCAGAATTTTCCTATGCTAGTTGTCCAGTCATCGCACTTTTAGCTGTAATTGTTCCATAGTCGTTGCGGACGATCTAATCGCAAAATTTGGACGTAGAGGGAAGCATAGAGAAGTACATTAATAGGTGTGGTACTACTGGCGAGGGGATGACTAGGGTGATGGGTGGTTCGTATTCCCACCCTGATCAGCGCTACTGGAGCATGAAGGACAGTATTTGTCTCTCCCTTTGTCCTGTGTTCGTCGATTACGAAAAAGCATGCGATAGCGTGAAAGTGAACGTTGCGCTGTGAGTTCGAGGAGGTGAAATAATTGGCGGAAGCCTCGCTTTTTAAGGCTTTGAATAACTGTTAGGAATACTGTTAAGTCAACTAAGGGTTTCCGCGGCTTCTTTATGCTTTCGTGGGACCTTCTAGCATACAGAAGCAAGAGTGGGTACCGTTGTGCACTATTACAAGTCGAATTTTTTGACATTTATTAGCGTTTTTGTGCAGAAAGCTTGTGCTTGAGATATTTTTTTTTTTGGTGGATTTGCACCGATACCTGGGGTTATTTGCACCGAAATGTTAACCTACACGAAGTTGACGTGAGTTTGCACTTACACGAAGTTGACGTGAGATCGCAGTTTTGCTCTGTCCTTCTGGAACCGACCTTGAAAAACCCCCTTACCCTTTAGAATATGCGTCCTCTTCCTTTTATATAATAACTATGCCTCACTAGCTGCAAAAATTCCTGTACAGACGTGTGGCTTGGTTTAATTCCTCATCCAGTGAGTTAGTACATTGTCTCGTAAATGCTAATAAATAGCCAGCGCACCGACTGCCGCTGCGAAGATGCGCTTTCTGCACAGCTCGCTGCAGATTTTTGTCGCTAATGGCATCGGTTTTCAAATGCTTCCAGCTAAAAGAATTGAGACTGGACACCGGGACTGTCAGGAAGCATTCCTCTAAGATTTCAGTTTTCTAGCTTTCCTGATTCCCGAGTTAGTAACTTACCTGCAAAAAACTTTCGCGTGCTCGTACGTAGGAACCACGCATACCTGGAGCCAGGTTTGAACTCATTAGAACCAATGTGGACGGGAACATCCCCTTAAAATTACGGACTTGTAGCTTTTCAAATTCCTGAGTTAGCAGTTTACCCGAAAAAACTTTAACGGGCTCGTACGTGGAGACCACGCATGTCTGAGGACTGGATTTGAACTTATTATCACCTACGTGGATGGGGATATCTCCTTAAAATTTCAGCTTCCTAGCTTTTTTGGTTCCCGAGTTAGCAGCTTCCCTGCCAAAAACTTTTGCGGGCTCGTATGTGGGTACCATGCGGGTAGGAGCGCCCATTTTGAAGACTAGGGCCCATATGTGCATGTAGATTAAGTTCCCAAAGTTTCGGCCCTGTAGCTGTTCTAGGTCTCGAGATGAAAAATCGGTACAGACGCGCGCGCGCGCACACACACACACACACACACACACACACACACACACACACACACA